AGGATTTAACTTCTTCTCTTTGACCTAACGGTCTATCCTGAAGGATTTAACATAGTATTCGACCCGAAGGTCTTAAAGTATCTCATGCCAAAATTTACATATATATCAAGGAATAAGAATTTACCACTTGCACCATGTATTTTTACCCCAATTTGATATCCAAGAATTTACTTGAAACTGACTTTGTGAAAAGATATAAATATTATACTCTATTAAATTCTAAAAATATTAGTGGTGTGGAGTGTACAATATACTATTGTTGTAGAATATAATTTTCATCTTAAATACACCTATTTATATATTCCACACACGTAACTTATGTAACATCAAAAGGCATTTCGCGTTAATGGAAGAATAATGGAGTTAAACCACCATAAGTGGACGTTTATGATTACGGTTACAAATTGAAAAGCCACCTGATCATTAATTGAGGATTAATGTAATTAAACAATTAGGATTTAATTGAAAATCAATTAAAGTGAACATGATGGTTACGGTTATAAATTTGAAAAGACACCTCCACGTTTAATTAGAGTTAATGTTATGGTTATGGAATGTATTATAAATTTCTAAATCAATTAAAATGGATGACATTACGTAACCATACAATGAAACTATTAATTTGGTTATTATTTTATCTTATATATGTATTAATATAATATTTGAGAATGATAATTTTCTTTCTATTAGAATAACTCGGGCATAACTAGCTCGAAATTACTTTTTCTTAAGCTCAAATTATGTTGTTTAACACAAGCTACAAAACGAGTATAATATCAGTATATTTTCATCAACTTTAAAAATACTTAAATATTCTATTCAAATAATTTTCTAAAAGTGCTCGTAACTCGTAAGCAAATAAATTATTTATACGAATACGCGAGTCGAGTCTACCACTTCAACTTTTGACTTTTAATATAATGACAAATCTTCACATTTTCATTTGCTAAATAATAAGTTCAGGTTCACATAGTAAAAAAATGCAGGGTGTTACATCCCTTCTCCCTTAAATTAATTTCGTCCTCGAAATTATCTTATTTAATCGAAAAGCTCTCGATACGTGACTTCTATTTCTCTTCTTTCTAGTGACTTGATAAGTTCTATCTATGTATATCACATAAACATTCAATTATGCTCTGTCTTTATAAATCAACTTATGCATTCTGCTCTTGTAATTTTAAACAAAATGACTAACCATCGTATCTTTATTTATGTACAAAAATAATAACTTGCGTAATACATTTCTTTCTAACATTATAAGCATTTCATCGTATCAAGCTTAAATGATTAATAAATCATGCTTGAAATTAAGCTTAAACATAACATTCCGTTCATACCTTGGGCTCATCGGACGGTAGTAGATTGACGAGCGCTAATGCCATGTGTCTGGATCTTACTTCAATACTTGTTTAATAAAAATCTCATGATGTATAAAATAAAATAAAATAGCAAGTAGACACTTATTGGCAGGTAACTAATAAAATATTAATAATCATTTCCTTTAAAACTATGAAATCGTAATCCATGCTTGTAACAAAGTGCAACGATGTTCATGCTAAAACCATCATTTTTTTTTTAGCAAGAATTTACTCAATATAAAAGTCTTTCGATATCCTGGCATATTGTCAGTTTACTTCATTTAAACGTGAATGGCTGTCATATTAACTACTTTAAGTTGGCAACAGAGGCATGCTTCCATGGATCTAGGCATACTTTACTAATGATAAACGCAAATGACAGGATAGAAATTGAATGAATGATGACTTTAACATGTAATCACTGCCACATTGGTTAAACACAAACCATTAATTAATTAGTGCATGTAAATTTCGTAACTTGTTCAATAATGCTGCAGAATCTTTTATCTTCGTTGGTCTTGTTATCGAATTTTATATCGACGGTAGAATAGCATAAAAACTCTAGACCAATTGACTAAACCAATAGCCAAAATATTGAGCAAGGAAAGGAAAATTATTCAGAATCCAACTGCAGAAACCCTTGGCTTCGTTGACGCAGAAAAAAAATCAACAAAAGTTTTCCTCGTCTTTTTCGAAAATTTACTAACTATTGGTTTTAAAAAAATAAAATGGCAGCATCATTTTTTTAACACACAGACCACTATGTCTTCAAAATAAAATAAATTATCATTCTAAGGAAAGAAATTATACACATAAATCACATAACAAGATTAAAAAAGATATATACTATTTTTTCTAAATAAATGACAAGTCTACAGAATCGGCTAAACTCGTGCTCTGATACCATTCTGTAACGCCCCGAACTCTTTTTCATTATTATTGTTATTTTTGAAATAAAAAGTTCGGGGCGTTACATGCTGTCTTTCAAGGAATCTGCAGAGTATCTCTAAGAATGATTGTTATAACGTTTATATTAATGAATGTCAGAATTGTCAGCTTAGAGTGTAGGGCAACTAACACGTTGTCAATATATTAAATGTGTGACAAAGAGTGATATGAGACTTCGACTAATGAGATGAGGTCACATGGTTGCAATCCAATGGCTACTACGTTGTCCCGAACTTTAAAAATAGCAACTCCTGCAACATCTTGAAGGGATGACAAATATGTATGCTAATAACCACACTCAACAGTCATGGGTGTCCCCAACTTTGACAACCAATTTATCTCTTAATTTCATGAGATCTAAAAATAATTTGAAAGACAATTTAACTAGAACTTTACCTAAAAAGGGCATTGATGATTCATCGAGGGGGATTAATTTGAGCACACAAGGGAGTCATCTATGAGGGTAATCCAACCTTTGTAATTAAAGACCACACAAAAGTGTTCAATAGTTAAAAGCAACCCGGATCATGTGACTTGTAATAATTCATTATTTGTGTTCATCCATATGGTAATAATACTAATGATTATAATGTCAGAAAGGATTTGTCCCCTAAATGAGTAACAATGAAAAATCTCACAGGTGTAGATTATACATACCCTTGAAGGACTCACCTATATAAGAGTTGTCATGATACCGTAACTATAGAATTGTGCTATTTCTTAGGTGCTCTTACTATAATTAAGGTTAGAGTATATGGTCATTTACATTGTAACTCACTTTGAACTGAGCCTAAATCAATAATGTGTGTAGAGCAGTTGAATTTTAGCCAAAGGAATTAATTCAAAACTTAGTCCATTATAGTTCCCTTATATAAAATTTTTATCACTAAATTAGCTTCAAGCCATGAAAATGCTTACACTTATTGTACAGTATAACGTTGACACTATATACATATTTGAAAATTTAAACATTGTGGGGGATTGTTTCCGCTATACATTACATATTATATAGTCTTATAATTTTGACAACTCAATATAAAGCTTGTTCACTTAAACTCTGTAGCCGTGCTTAAAGAAGGATAATTCATTGTAAGTTATAAATATTTTATCTTCGAGTCTTGTAATGACAAAAAAAAAAAAAAACTCTCTTCTCAATTGTATATTATTTTATTTTGTCGTTTTATATAATATGTTTTTACATAAAATCTCTCTCTTTTTTTATTATTATTTTAATAACAATTATACGAGTCAAGGAAATGTTCTGAGAATCTTCAATATGGTGGACTAGGAGAAACCATCCCGGATCATTTTTTATCACCGGACAGTCGTTCCATGTTTTGAGGCTGATATGCAGATGCAGTTATTCTGCATGCTGAGCTGCCAAATTCTCCCACACACACACCCCCCTCCCTCCCCACCCCACCCACGAATAAAAAAAAATAAAAGAAAAGAAAGAAAAAAGGTCATCCCAAGATTCTCAACCAGACACCCAACCCCGGCCACCCCCCACTCATATCCCCAAGTAAAAACCACCTCCCCCATTACGGTACAACCAGTCAGAAACTAAAAATCACCACCTAAAAAATTACCCATTTCTATGACTTTGACGACAGAGACACTTTTTCATTGGGATCCTTGGAAATTTACGCCACGACATTTTCTCAGAAATTTAAGCACGGACAGATGCATTGCATCTGTAGTCTTTATTTTGTAAATTTCTTAAGAGTCTAAACTTTAAAGTTTAAAATTTATATTTTTGTTCACCTTTCTCTGTACGAATTATTATATGCCTGATTTTATATCTGTGTATTTTATGTTTATTCATTTTGACAAGTGAAGATTTCAGTAACATAATAAGGCGTTAACGAATGGAGGATTAGACTCTTAAAATTCAAGAATTTTGACTGAAGAAAAAAAAGAATGGTTCTTTTGAAGAATTGCATTTTACAATTACAAGATCTAACGAATTGAAATTTTTTTCATAAAAAATGATTAAACAAATTGATGAATTCTTACATGTGATATCACAGCACGAGACTCATAATTATAGAAACGAAGAAGAAGAAGAAATTAGGTTCATGTTTGTGGTGCGATTAACTAAAAGTATATTAACCTGAATTATGTAATTTTACTTAAGGTTATTTAAGTAAATAAGAAAAAAAATTAAAAAGTATGGTGCATTTAATAAATTTTGTGGTGGCAGCATATTTTATTTTCAAGCACTCTATTCTCCCAATAAAATAAATTTACACTTAAATTTTATTTTTTCCCAACTTTTTAAGCACTTTTTCCCTAAAAAATTAATATTACAAGATCTTTTTTTTTAATATGGGGTCAAACAAACCCAATGATTTAGTGTATTTATTAGAAATATATATATTTTTTATTAACGTGTATTTATAAAGTAGTGAGATGAATAAACCTTCTGGTGGTAATATACTAATCCATTATTTATAGTTTGTATTTTTGCTCGGTGTAGTATTTATCTTTAACATACACTCCTTGGGGATTGAAACCGATTAATCAATTCTTGTTTTTTTAACGGTAATTGCAATATTTTGTCCTGGATGGCTCTGAATTTAAAAGCTGGAAATCCATTGAATTTTATTATTATGCATACAATAAAAGCCTGTAAAGATCATATGTAAGAGTAATATTATTGATCAACCGTACATGATAAAAGCAAATGAAAGATTAGCTTAAATCATCTGGTCACATGGCATTAAACTAGCCATCTCATCATTTATTGATATATTATTATAGTGAAAAATAAATGTCTGGCCTTTATTAAGACAAGCAAACTCAACCAATAAACTACCAAGCTTGTGCAAGGCAAGGTGTGCATTGTGCAGTATAAATAGGAAGAAAGGATACTATCACTATGTTACATCATCACTATGTTACATCACACACCAAACAATAATCTCGGTAACCATAATCCCAAAAAACATATGACTAAATTTACACTAAATAGAGAGCGCATGTCTGGTAGACAGAATCAGATATGATCGGACATTAATTTTGTCCAATGTTGATTAATCCAACTTGTGAAACATGCCAATAAAGTATCCTCAGCACCGGAGTTTGACCTTCACCTTACCCCATGGTTGACAATGAAAAGGGGATATTAGTGACAATCTGATAACCATCTCCATTGTCATCATCCTCTTCATCCTCAGCATTGTCTTCTTGATTTTGATTTTCACTCTCACCATCCTCTGCCCCCGACTGATGATGTTGCTGTGGTGGCTGCAGTGGAGGAGGTTGATTTTTTTGTTGGCCCATCATTTCCAATAAAATACTTTCAGGCTGCATATTGTAACTCAAATTTTCTGAAGTATGTTCGGTTCTAGACTTCTTTGCATAGATAGACTCAAGCAAGTTGAAATAAGGACAAGTTTTCGAATCCTGAGGCCGCCTCTTTTTGCTATCTTTTACTCTCTTGTAATATTTGTTTATGTTTTCCCATTTCTCTTTACACCTCTTTGCACTTCTATCATAACCAAGTTTCTTCATGGCAGAAGAAATCTCCTCCCACAAGGGCCCTTTAGGCCCATTATCGTTGTATTTCAAATCAAGATCAGTTCTAAGCATGATCAAAGCTTCAACTTCTGCTTTTGGCCACCTTGAAGAACTCATCAGAGTAGTATTCTCACCAACACTATTCTCTTGTTTATCAGTATGATTTGAAGTCTCCCCAACACCGTTTTCTTGTTTGTCAATGCGCTTCTCCAACACATTATCATTTGTCTCCAAATGTTTGCCAAATGCTGAAAACGGAATCTCTGGAATTTGCAGATTCGTTGAATGCTGCGAGATCTTTTGCAAAAATGCAAGCACAGCTGCATCCTTTGCAGCAGAAATTGCTCGTTCTTGGGCTAAAAAATCTTGTTCTCTCTTTATTCTAGCCATTTCTTGTACCTTCCATGCTTCATCTCTTGCTATCCGATCCTTCTCATATTTCTCTATGGCTTCTAAGAACTTGTTCTGTAAATCCTCCTGCTTCTTCAAAACATCCTTCATTAATCTCTCAAAATATTCTGCTAATTTCCTCTCTCTCTCAACAATTCCTTCAGATCTCTCTTCCGAGGAGGATGTAGAGGTGGGCATGAATTCAGTATCCGGATCTTGACTCGAACAAGGTACTACCCTTAAACCTTGAGATGCATTTAAGGGATTTACCCTTAACGGTGCAGTTGCTCTCGTTTCCGTCAGGTACTTTTGGACTTGGTTCAAGGGAGTCGATTGAACTGAGAGTTGATTATCAAAAACCTCTAATAACTCGAAGAATCTATAGTTTTTCCCATTTTGCCGACTGGATCTGCCTTCTTTCGTTCTTTTGTGATACTTATAGATGTTCTCGAATTTTTCTTTGCATTTCTTGGCACTTCGATTGTATCCAAGCTCACCTAATTTCCTGAATAAAAAGAAAATAATAAAATCCACTGCCTGTCCTATTCCGGCTTTAGAATTCAGAAATCAATAGGAACAAAAGCATGGTAAAACAAACTTCAAAAACATCGACTTCAATCGACAAGGAGAGAATTGGAGTAAATAACAAATAATCAAAGCTATTAGCATCAATCTCTTTCTGTTAAAACAAAAGAAAATACCGGAATTTACTCAATTTTTAAAGCAAGTTGTATACTGATCTGAATTAACCATTAATAAATCGAAAATACAAACTCTAACGCTAAAAGGTTTATACAGAAATAATTCTCGATTGAAATATGCTCCAAATCAGAACTGTAGAGAGGGAGTGAAATGGAAAGGATACCTAGAAACTTCGTCCCAGAGAGGAGCTTTAAGAATGGCGTCACGAAATGCACGGTCCATATCGGATCTTATCTCTAACAAAGCCAAAGTTTCCTCACGTGGCCACCGATTACCAGGTGAATTCCGGTCAATATCTTCACCGCCGTCACCACTGCCACCCTCATTTCTATGTTCAATAGCCACCCCATGAGAGGCAGCGCCACCACTTGTACCACTACCATCAGCACCGTCAACACCAGAATTTTCCAAGAAAACTGAACTATCCAACATGACTTTACTTCACTTGGTAAACCCAAAATTTTATATTAGGAAAACAAGGTAAAGAATAGCTTTTTCCCCCCTCAATTTTTAGGCCGTAGTGAAGGCTTAACAGTGGTGGTAAAAAAAATTTAAAAATCCTGGCTTATAAGCTTATTCTTATTAGGGTTGGTTTGAATTTCTGGGCTTAATTTTTTCACTCATCAAATCACCTTTTCTGGAATTTTTTCCTCTTTCCAAAAAGGGGTTAAAGAAGAAAGGAAAAAGGAACGGTGAATTGTAGGGTTTCTTTTAGGTTTTCATAAAGAAAAGTGAAGGCAAAGTTGTATTGCATTCGTATATCTTAGTAGATAAATATTAGTGACATGTCAACAAATAATTGGTCAATAATTAAGTAACGTTTGATATTATCTACTCCTTTTACATAGCTTGTGAAACAATTCTTTTAAAAAATTAATTAATATTAATATTCATTTTTTTTCGTGTCAAAGACTTAAAAGCTATTCCGACGGAGTTTGGCATTATTTTTCGATACCGAAGATGTTACAATAAAGAATATTAATTTAAATTGGAAGTAGTTAAATTATCCCGTTTGACCCTCATTTTTTGGGAAATGAAAATGTGTGGAATAATGTGTTTTTTTGAAAAATGAGTAATTGAAAGAGAATGAAAATTTTCAATTTACGTGTAATATTATTTTATAAAAGATTGTGTAGTTAAAAATAAAAGAGATAAAAATAAAATATAATAGAATGTAATTTAATGAGTACTAAATATGAGCTTTTTTTTCTAGTTTATTATCATAATGATTAACGATTAATGATTTTTATTTAAAATTAAGAGAAAATTAGTATATTCATATGCATTTCAAAATCAAATTTTACTTCAGATATTTTTTTATGCCACATTTATGCGATTGGTAGTCAAATTGTGAGGGTGGAATACAAGAGTGAACAAATTGAGTGACTAGTTTAACAATATTGAAAAGTATGAGGTCAAAAGGAGAAAGTTTGAATGTTGAAGATAAATTCAATGTCTGGGGTCATTGTGGAGGCACAAAGAGGTGGAAAGATCAGATAGGGATAATAAAAGAGATAAATGAGAATTCTTACAAGTTGGGATTTGTATGGATGTTGTGTTTGAAAGCTATATTTGGGTTAGAATGTGGCCCACATAGCCCACAATTGAATTTCAAATTTTTTTTGTGTTCACACTTTTATCTTCCATTTCTTGTGGGTAAAAGATTAGGGATTACTCTTCTTAATTACCTACCACTTTATTAATAATTGTTGGTCAATCAAGATTAAAGAATGGTTTTGCGATCCAAGATCTAGTGGCGTTCGCCCTTTAAAATTTTAAATTATTTACTACAGTATTATTTTTTATCACATATTCACACAATAAAATATTTTACATATAAATTAATAAAATTTATTTATTTCTTAACCAAGTATTTTTCAAAAAATTACTATTCAAAACCCTTTAATCTCTCAAATAATGGATGACAAACCGGGACCAAATCTTTTAGATGGTCTTTAGTACTAATTCTTTTGTCTAGTTTTTGTTAGAGGGTTTATTCGACTTAATTAAGTCTAGTTAGATTGAAATTTGAATTCAAATGTTTAAATATTGTCTAAATTCAACAAAAAGAGAAGAAAGATTCTCGAAGAATAATATTATAAGTTGCACTAGTAAGGTTTTGAGATTCTAGCTCATACTCGATGAAGGTCTAAGCTTAATGCGTAATGATTCGATTAGTGATTTTTCCATTTTTCTTTTTTTCCAATTATTTATTGTTAGTGACATTATCAATAGGCCAGCCTATATTTAGTGCATAAATATAGGTCAATGATTGAGGCATGATTAGAAAAATGGTTTAGGAATTAATTTACGTCATTTTAAGTGTTAATAAGGTGTCATTTTCATGTAATTACCAAAGAGTGAAGCATTAAACATACATGCACCATTATTCAACGATGACGCAAATGTCAGGCTGTACGGTGCCCCACCCACACGTGGGTAGGACGCTTGATTACGACTCTAGTAATAAAAGTTTGGTCCCATTTTTCAAAATTGAGTTTTTCTCAAATTCACTTTCAACCACATAAATTTATCGTTTTTATTAATTTTTTAATCATACATTTAATTGAATCCAAAATTTTTATCAATTTTTAATTACATATTTCATAAATTTTTATCAAAATTTACTAAAAATTTGAAATTTATTTAAACTTGACTGTGCGTGTGAGATGGCAACTTGCTTTGTATTTTTCCATTAATGTTTTATTCTGAGGGCATTTTCAATCCATACACCATTTTCCACAAAATTTCATCATTTTTTACCAAATACACCACTCCAACTCAACACCAAATTTTGCACCATATTTGATGCAATACTATTCACTTGTACCATTTTGCACCAAATATGATAAGAGTCTTTTTTTGTCATTTTTTCATATATGACCAAGATGATATGAAGGGTATTTGTATCATTTTACACATACATAAATTTTAATTCATAAAAATTATTATTATTATTATTGATGATCATCATTTGTAATAAACTTTAATCGCGTAATCAATAATAATAGATGAACAATTAAAATAAAAGTACTCAAAACGAAATGTATTAATTGAACATTTGTGAGATGAATATATGAATTCTGATAATTAAATTGCCACACTAAATCGACTTTACCATACCATAATTTCGAGATTCGAAATGTAATACGTTGTTTTCAATAACATGATTTCATATTTTCTTAGTTGTGGTATTTTTATTCATTGTACTACATTTTTAAAATATATTAAACAATTTCATATTTTTGTAAACAAAACGTAATTATGTATGCATTAATTTATGTAGTAGTAAATCGAATAAATAAATAATTTTTCAACTATATAAATTGTTAAAAATAAAAGAAATGAAGAACATGACTAAACACTATTCATTTTGTACAACTTTGTAAGTGTTATACCCTAAATCTAATCGATTTAAGTTGTAAACACTTTTAATATGTTTAATGTATTTAATTTTGGCAAGATTTATTATTTATTTAAATTAATTTTGTGATAAATAATATTAAATAATAGAATCCGAAAATTCAAGTTGAAGTGATTTGTTAATCACAAGGAGTTGTGATTGTGAGATACAAATTACGTATGATTGGATCTTGAACAAACCGTGGTCGTAAGTAATAACGAGATTCAGATATCGTTAATATCTCGTTATTACAGATAGACCATCACGTGTGACATTTCTTACTTGTGAAGTAAGCAGCTGATCTCACGAGCTAAAGTGTGACACTTAAATGAACACGTGAATATTTTGTTATAGAACAAAACATTGGAGACCCGCTAAAAGATTCCACATGGATAACTATCTGAGTGTCAGTGGTTAATCTCTAACGTTCGATAGTGGAATTGGTCCTATGACTTGAGGTCATCATAGTGCCTTGTATGAGGACAGTCATGCTTTTACTATGTTGGATGTTGTTCTGCCAAGGGCCGCTAATACGATATCATTCGGTTATGTCAAGAACCATATGAAGGTTATAAATAACCAACAGAGGATTCGTCACTTTTAGATAGTAAAAGATTGTGATCTGCTTCATTCAATTAAGTCAATAATGAAATCATTGGCCAAGGTAGACATATAAGTCGAAAATGAGTTTTCGACTCATATTGGCTTAATAGTAGAAAGAAAGATATGATCGATAATCGAGATCGACATACTTCCATATCTCGTAGTTGATCGGATCATATTGACGAAGAGATTATAATTTCATGGTAAACGTACAGTTTTGGTTTTGTCATGCTACATGACATTTCCCGTCACATGTGTTGCCCTGATACATTGCTAGATGTCAATTTGGGACGGCGAGTATGAATTTGTGATAAATTAAGAGGGTGTTTAATTTATCTCTTAATTTATCAGATTTGATTATATCAAAATAATATTTCACGTCGTTAGGTATCGTGATTGAGAACCTGATGGGTCGCACACAAAAGAGAATTGGAAGATTGCAAATTGTCAATTAATTAATTCATCCAATCATTGGATAAAATTAATTAATTGGATTGGTTATTTATATCCCCGAATTAATTAATTGGATTAATTAATTTACGGACCATGTTTAATTAAATTGATTAATTAAATATTGGATCGGACCGGACGCAAGCCTATTTGGGTTTATATAAATACATGGCTAAGGTTTAAGGTCCATATTATTTTCATTATTCTTGCTGGCACAAGAGGAAAAACCCTAGTAGTTGCAGTAATTTCTTTGTATGGATTTCATTGGAGACTGGACAATTGGACAGCTGTGGGAGGCAAATTCAAATTGCTGGAAAAGGATAACGTAAAGGAGTTTACAAAATCAAGAAAAATGTATATTTCTCATCACAGTTCTTATCTAAATTTAAAGTTGAATCCTGATGGGAATTGAAATTGTTTATTTCCGCTGTGCATGTTTAAGTAAATTCCCAACAAACTTTTGGTGTAATGGGTTGGAGATGATTTTTAGTTTGATTCAAATTTGGTGTAAAATGGTGCAAATTTTGGTGTAGGGTTGGAAATGTCTCGATAGATATGTGATAAGCTTGTTTATTTTCAACGGAATAAGTGTAGGACTATGAATATAAAAGAAGTATATTGCTACACAAATGATTGAGAACAAGGTCCAAAACAAATTACTAAAATTAAATATCAATAATTTAGAAATTAGAAATAATTTAGCTGAAAATTGGTCGATTAAATCATGATATATCACAAGATTGGTTGTCCCTTTTTAGGGATATTAACTCTCGATTATTCAAGGATATTACTATAAATTGTATTTCATTCATCAATTCCTTTTGCGTTAGACTCTATATCTGAGGACATTGGCATGATTAATACTAAAAAATTTGGAACTTAGAAAGTGATTATGTGCATTAAGTGATCATTAGGTGGTATTGAAGTAGAGATATATTTCATCAAATCCAAACGTCCCATTGAATAGAACGTCCTGATTGAGCCTTCTTGGATAAGTTTGGGGATGCATTAATTGTGAAGATAAGTATTGATAGTTCCTAATTTCGTTGAAGGGAATGAATTGAACATTGACTATGAGCTACGATTATCTTCTTAACTATTTGTCTCAGTAAAAGACTTTGCGTTAGTTGGGGATAGAAAAAAGTTACTTATACTGAATGTGAAAGCTCGTTTTGAGTAATTGTTAATATTTATTTATAATCATGATAAGAACAAAAATCACATAATAATAAATTGATAAATCGAATTCATACCTGCGGAAGCCATTGTTGATAT